AAAAAATAAGTTTTAGAAAAACTAAGTATGTGAGGATATGCTGGACTTACTTCAAAAGGCAGTGGGAGGCAGTTATGACGTGCCACTCATCCCAAACGGAACCACCACAAAAAAATCTATTTTTTGCATTAAACAGTGCTGCCATGAATGGCCACTGACCTTTAGCACTTTTGTTGCCGCCGACGATGCGTGCTTCATTCTCCTGATTGGACACTGCAGTAGTGCTTGATTGGTTCTTGAGCACCAGAAAAAANACTGACCTTTAGCACTTTTGTTGCCGCCGACGATGCGTGCTTCATTCTCCTGATTGGACACTGCAGTAGTGCTTGATTGGTTCTTGAGCACCAGAAAAAACAGTGTTGTGTAAAGTAAACTAAAAAATACCATTTTGGTGTTGAATGGGTTAAATTTTGGAGTGAAACAGTAATGCGTTGTCGTCAAATCAAGAAAATGTTATTTTACATTTGAATAAGTAGAAGTTAAAAAATTCGAATTTCAGTTTGATTACTTTATTATCAAACTGTTTTTTGAACTTTTAACTAACATGTTGTTTGTCCTCCTCTTTCTGACCTTTTATCACCAGCATCATCATCATCATGGGTTTCGGCTCTTCAAGAAACACCTCACCCACGTTGAAAACTGTCTCAGAGCAGACGATGCGCCAGCAGAACCTTCAAGTGACTCTAAAGCAGCTGCAAACGTTGATGGAATGTCGTGGAATGACGATGGTGCAGGCGATTCAGACAAACTTTGGCAGCGTCGAGCAACTCTGTGCCCAGTTGGGCGTTCAGCAGACAGAGGGAATAAACCCTACTGAAGGAAACATTGCCCTTCGCCAGAACGTCTACGGGAAAAACCAGGTCAACTTCAAGCCGCCCAAGTCCTTCCTGACGCTCGTCTGTCGTGCACTCAAAGACAAGACCTTAATGATGTTGGAGATTAGCGCCGCCATCAGCTTCGTCCTGAGCTTTTGCAATCCGGGGATGGATGCCGAGGATGGGTCAGACACTGACTATGAGCTGGAGCAGCAGCACGACGACAAGTACGGGTGGATCGAGTCGGCGGCCATCACCGTCTCTATACTCATTATCGTCTTGGTTTCTGCGGGAAATGACTACACTAAAGAGCGACAGTTTAGAGGTAACTGCAGTCGCCTCTAAATAAATCCCCATTCGTTTCCTCATTCGTTTCCCTGCAGTTCTACAATCACAACTGGAGAAGGAGCACAAGGTGAGCGTCCTAAGAAATCGAGCCATCTCGGAGGTTCCAGTCACCAGCCTGGTGGTGGGCGATATTTGCCTTCTAAAATACGGAGATATTATTCCAACGGACGGAATTCTCTTTGAGTGCAACGAGCTGAAGATTGACGAGAGCTCGCTGACGGGCGAGTCAGACTTGGTGGCCAAGTCTCTCACTGCTGATCCGGTCATTCTATCTGGCACTCATGTCATGGAGGGCGGTGGGCGGATGGTGGTGACGGCAGTGGGCGTTCATTCTCAATCAGGCATGATCTACTCGCTGATGAGGAGTGGGGACAATGCTAAGGCGTCTGGCGAGAAGGGAGAGGAGGAAGAGGATGAGGAGAGGGATCACTCGGTGCTGCAGAAGAAGCTGCGAGACCTGGCACTGAGAATCGGTTACGTGGGCATCGGAATCACAGTGTTCACGATGATCCTCCTTGTCACCGAATACGCCATCGTCAAGTTCCTCCTTGAGCGACAGCCCTTTCGCTTGTACGTCCTCAAAGATCTGCTCAACTTTCTCATTATCGGTGTGACCATTCTCGTGGTGGCAGTGCCTGAAGGACTGCCACTGGCGGTGACGCTGTCGCTAGCATACTCCGTCCGGGTACGTCGTATTACCTGAGACTTTGCTTCATCTAACAACATTTTTTGACAGCAAATGATGAAGGACAACAACCTCGTTCGGCACTTGGACGCCTGCGAGACGATGGGCAATGCGACGATCATCTGCTCAGACAAGACCGGCACACTGACGGCAAACAAAATGACTGCCGTAAAGTGCTACCTCTGTGGCACCTTCTACCACACCCTCTCCAAGCGGTTCCTCGAGCTGCCCGCCGACGTGGTCAGCACGCTGGCGCAGAGTATTGCCCTCAACTCGCAGCCAACCAGTCAGCTGGAGGTAAGTGCAGGCGATGAGCTGATTGTTTACAAATAAACGCCATCATTTCATGTGCAGAAACTGAAAGACGAAAACCGAACGGTCAAGCAGCTGGGCAACAAAACTGAATGTGCCCTTCTGGGACTGCTCTTTCGTGTGCACATTGACTATCGAGAAGTGCGGGAGCGCTTTCCGCCTGCCCACCTTCACCGAATCTACCCCTTCAATTCAGCCCGCAAGTTGATGCGCACCGTCATCTGTTTGTCCCCTCAAGGCTTTCGAGTGCTAGCAAAGGGCGCCTCGGAGATTATTCTGAAAAAGTGCAAGTACATTGTCGGCGCAAAGGGAGACATTCTCGAGTTGACGGAGAAGGAAAAGGACAGGCTCACTTCCAAGGTGATAAGGAAGATGGCACAAGAGGGACTTCGCACAATCATGATCGCCTACGTGGACTACCTGTATAAGGAGGAAAAATCACCTCAGATTCCACCAAACGCCAAGCCCCTCCAACTCGACTCTGAGCCTGACTGGGATGCCGAAGAGTCGTACAGCGATCTGACCTGTCTGGCAGTTATTGGCATTGAGGATCCCATTCGAAAGGACGTTCCAGAGGCGATTGTGCGCTGTCAGCGGGCAGGCATCAGCATTCGAATGGTAACTGGCGATAATGTGGGTACGTTTTTTTGTGGCTTGTTGGTGTACTTTTGACTTTTGAACCACTTTCAGACACGGCACGGGCAATAGCCAGAAAGTGCGGCATCATCAGTCGAACAGCCGCGGACAGCGACGATTTGGTACTGGAAAGCAAGGAGTTCAACAGGGTGATCCGCAATGAACAAGGAAAAGTTGACCAGCAGAGATTTGACCTAGTGTGGCCGCGGCTGAAGGTGCTGGCTCGCTCCACACCAGCGGACAAATACACACTGGTGAAGCACATCATCGAGAGTCGACTGAACCCAAATCGAGAGGTGGTCGCCGTCACCGGGGATGGCACCAACGACGCCCCTGCTCTCAAAATGGCCGACGTCGGCTTTGCCATGGGCATCGCTGGCACTGAGGTCGCCAAGGAGGCCTCAGACATCATTCTCACGGATGACAACTTTTCGNTGGCACCAACGACGCCCCTGCTCTCAAAATGGCCGACGTCGGCTTTGCCATGGGCATCGCCGGCACTGAGGTCGCCAAGGAGGCATCAGACATCATTCTCACGGATGACAACTTTTCAAGCATTGTCAAGGCAGTAAAGAGCGGTCGCAACGTCTACGATAGCATCACCAAGTTTATACAGTTTCAACTGACGGTGAACATTGTCGCGGTGCTGATTGCCTTTATCAGCGTCTGCATTATCTCGGACAGTCCACTGAAGGCAGTGCAGATGCTTTGGGTCAATCTAATCATGGACACGCTGGGTTCACTGGCGCTCAGCACGGAGAAGCCCTCGGAGATGCTGCTGCTTCGCAAGCCCTACGGTCGCAACCAGTCCCTCATCAGCTCGTCCATGTGCATGATAATCCTCTGCAATTCCACCTACCAGTTTGTGCTGATCATGCTGATGCTCTTTTACGGTGACCGCTTCTTCAACATTGACAG